GACTTTGTAGCAGTGGCTGATGTTTTGTCGACCTCTGTGGAAAGGTGAGGGATTAACGTGTTACTTTTTCTTGCTGGACTCAAATCAGACTTTGCTTGTTTACGTTTATTTTACTGCGTTTAACTGCTTAGTTTTAGAAAACACAGCATCGATGCTTTATTCTGTCATTTCAGGGACATTTCTTCTGCAAAAAGCGCTTTGTAGGAAAGATTTAAGGAAGCAGTCTTTCCACAGGTTGATTGTAGTTCCGTCACAGAATATGAATTTTAATCAGCAGACCATAAAGTAGATGGAATATTAACTTTTGCTACTAGGACAAGGTCCACTGTCCATTCAGCTTTTCGTGTTTTTATTGCTGTTCAAAGGTTGTTTCCAGTTGAATTTGGCCGGTTCCCGTCTATGAGAGTGACCCACTGCAGGTTATCCTTCTGTCACACTGCTGCAGGTAATGATGTGAAAATAGCATACGTTTCTGTTTCATATCAGGTTCACTGACTGAGGTGTTGTAGCTGATTCCTGCCCTCTTTATCACAGTGCAAAGACCGTGTTCTTTCAGCTTAGTTTAACCAGACACTTGGATAACTGTGTTCTTACCGCAGGGTCCAGGATGAGGAAGAAGCTGCTGTTGGATGTGGACTGTGGCGTGGACGATGCTCAGGCCATCATGATGGCCCTGGCTGCCCCCAATGTGCAGATCTTGGGCATTACCTGTGTGCATGGAAACACCTCAGTGGAGAATGTGTGTAAAAACGCACTGCGAGTCCTGCAAGCCTGCAGTCACCTCGAGGTAGGATGCTCTGTAGTTGCACACTCGTGTTAAAATCAACAAAGTAGCGTGACATTGTTGGAATTTCCTGGCCTCATGTGATAAGCGAGGTTGCATTTTATAGAATTGTCTAACAATGAGGAGTTGTTCCTCATGCCACATGACCCGATGCAGAAAGTGGACAGTTTGAAGGAGTTGGCTTTAGTTCTCTAGTTTTGTCCAAATTCTCTGAAAATGAAATTAAGCATCTCACATATTAGTTATTATATTAAACCAGCTACTGCTTGGAAACAATTGGGCAAAGTTAAACACAAAGCACCTCGTCTCACTCAGAGGAATATTTTTGTTAATTCAGATTTGTCAAAGTGGTCAATTGTGGACATTTACTTAGTTTTTTTTATGCATGTATTCATAACATGAATAAAGAGAAATGAGCACACAAGTTACAGGATTTATGTTCATCCATTTCTCAAGTTAATCCTTCCACATGGAGATGTACCTTTGTACTTTTTTCCAAACATACAAAACAGAAGACTGCCAGTTTAGGCCGCTTCAAAAAGGCTTCAGGATAAATGAGTAACATAAATCAGGTGTTTTATTAATCCTCTTTACCCTGGAGGATGTACCAGGCTGTATCTGTTATTAAAATACACACAGCATGGCGAGCATAGTACTCTCAGTGGTGAGCCCACCTTGATTTTTATTGCTCCTTTATGCTGTTTGTTTTATAATCAAATGCTTTAATTAGAAATTTTATTTGAATTTCCCTTTGGAGGAAATAAAGATTTTTATCTATCCTTCTATCTATGTTAGGTTGAGCTCTGTAGTCGCCTCTCCCTCATCTGCTTCTGGCCACTCTGAATACTTTCAGCTTTTTCTTTCTAGGAGAAAGAAGAACAGAATATATTCAGATGTTACTCCAGAGATAATTATTTTGGTTTTATTGATATACAAAGCTGAGAGGGCTTTTCCTCGCGATCAGCACTAACTAGCTTCCCTGCTAAAGTAAACCAATACTGTTCTTATTATGTTTACCACAGAATGACCATTGTCAGAAGGTGGAAAGTCACTCACAGCACTGTTTTACCTCTGCTGAGAGGGATGAATCCGAAAATTAGATTTTATACAATTTTTTTTCTTTCTAAGTGTTTGCTATGTAATATTCATTCTAGCAAATTGGGGTTAGTATCCTGCCCAAGGATATTTGGCACACAAACCTTCTAATGAGCAGATGACCTGCTCTACCACCCGAGCTACAGCCACCCCAATTCACATGCACACAGAAGGTGTAATAAACTCTAAACACTTCTTGAAATTCACGTAAGTTTCATAATTGACTAATCTGATTTGCTCCCCCGTTTACAACCTTGTTTACGAGCCACTCTGACCTCTCAGGTCATCAGCAGATGCTTTAACTGTTCCCAGAATGAAATCTAAGTGTGCTGAAGGTGCTTTCACTTAGTGTGTTCCAGCTCTTTGTAACAAGCTGCTGACCTGAGATCAATTACATCTGTGCCAACACACAGAAACAGACTCAAAAGCTTTTTATATTTAAACCTCTGTGTTCAGCACATTGAGTTTGAACATAATGAAATGTGTTCTATAAATAAAAATGCCACTGCTGCTTAGTGGCAGTATGTTCTAGCTTGAAACAGAAGTCTGAATGTTACAGTTGCCTAAAAGCTGAAGTTGGTTTGGGAATGCTGATGGAATAAAAGCAGGGATGAATTATAACCGGTTCTGCGTTTGCATGTTTCTGCAGATTCCAGTGTTTAAAGGCGCTGCTATGCCGATCCTCGGCGACAGCGGCATCAGCTCAGGGCACTTCCACGGGAAGGATGGCCTGGGTGACGCTCCAGACTCCAAGGCTCCCGGTTTGGAGCTTGTTCAGAAGGAAAACGCTGCGATTGCTATGATCAGGATTGTAAACGAGAACCCAGGAGAGGTGAGGAATGTGTGAGTGATAGACCCTCAGAATGAGATTGTGATAGTTTCCATATTTCTCCTGTTAGTTGCTGTCAAATATGACAGTCTGTCTCGCTCTCTGAGATGTCTGGGCTCCTCTCATCACGTGCGCTAGGGAAAGTAAACACATGACGTCGCTATGTCAGCAATAAATGTCATTAATATCACAGTGACATTTTCTTTATCACGTAAAAGGTTCTGGGGGAAAGCTCTCTGCGCTTGCACGAGTGCGCTTTTTGCAAAATTTTAATCCGTGTGTCTTCTCCCAGGTATCTCTGGTTGCCACGGCACCCCTCACCAACTTGGCTCTGGCTGTGAAGATGGATCCATCTCTGCCGAGCAAACTCAAAGGCCTCTACATCATGGGAGGCAACACTGAATGTCAGTAAAACACTGTCGCTTCATAAGTCTACATAGGGCCAGAGGATATAAACTGCTTATGAAGAAATACACGTTAGAATGAATTCTATGGTGTTTCCAGACAGACGTGACTAAATAACCAGTGGACCCATTCTAACAGCAGAAACAATTATTTAATTGATGGAACATTTAAGTCGTTAGTTGTTGCTTTTCATTACCAAACTTTATGAAGTTTTCCAAGTATTGCTTTCCACCCTTTCAGTTTAAATTAAATCTCAAAGCAAAACAAGGTAATTGGATTTATCAGTAACATTTTGTTTACAACATAGTCCATCAAATATCAACTGGTAATTTATTATTTTTTTCACCAGAATTGTAATCTTTGTCTGTGTGAGGTTCTCATTATTGTCTCTACCCTGTGTAATCCAGCTCGAGGGAACACCACAGTGTGTGGGGAGTTTAATTTTGCTGTGGATCCAGAAGCTGCATACATCGTGCTTAAAGAGTACCGCTGTCCCACCTACTTGGCCGGCTGGGAGTTCACCTGCTACAACAAGTTAACCTGGGTAATGCCTGTGTTTACACGTTTTAGCGTTTAGAAGTTGATTCGTGCTACATGTTTGTCGTCAAGCGACCAAAACAAAACACTTTTCTCTGCTCACACTTCAACAGGAGTTCTGCGATGAATGGTTGGCGCAGAACACCAGTAAAGCTCGCTTCATGAAGAAGATCTTCCACCACAGCTACCAGGCGGCGCAGACTGAACGCTTGCAGAAAGAGTGCGTCGCCGGTTCGGGTTTCATTTCCTGCGACTCGTATGCAGTGGCTGCCGCCATAGATGATTCGTTCATCATAGAAAGCGACCAATACCCAGTCAGCGTGGAGCTGTCAGGCACGCACACCAGGGGCATGATGATAGTAGACACTGTGGGTTTCCTGAAGGACGCTCGCGAGGTTTGTCTCATGAGGAAGGTGGACTTGGAGAAGTTCAAGCAGATGATGATAGCAGCTTTACAATAATATTTAAATTGGCCAGAAGCGGCACCTTTACAGGTTTGTTTTTATGGGGCGGGTAACATGGACGTCCAGGTTTGTGAATGCGATGATTGAGGGTCCAAGTCCCTGTTCGAGTATTAAAATTGACATAATTTCCTTAGGGATTAATAAAGTATTCTAATTCTGTATTCTGATCAAACCACCAGTCTTCCATCAGTCGATGATTTGCTCAGCTACAGTCATGCCTTCATATGGAAGAGTTGAGTGGCATGTAAAACACCCATTATTATGTGAAAGAATGCGGAGCCTAAAATAAAGAGCCCTGCTTAACAGAAAGTTTATAATCACTGTTGTGATCGGCCAATCTCCCGCTAGGATTTTAGAAAGCCTTTATATTTCCTTCATAATTACTGTGATGGACAAGTGTTGTAGTTTTGCTACTGAAAAAGACACATCCCATGATATCGATGCTAAGAGTTAATAAGAAGGAAAAAAAAGGTCTTGAATAAAAATCAGACTTATCTTTATTTAATGACACTGAATTTGCGCTCACTCTTAAATGGACTCAAAAATGAAGAGTTTTGAGCCACATCTGTTTGTTTGTTAGTTTTTTAATTATAGTCTTATAATTCTGAAGGCGTTGAACTGACTTTAATTGTGGAATGACCCAACTGTGAAGGTACATGGGGAGGACATGAAGAACTTGATTTGCTTGTTCTGTGACTGAAGAAACTGTTTGCAATGGTGGTCATAAGTCAGCACCCTGCATAGAGCAGAAACTGCAAGCTACACCTGGGAACTGGCTGACATAGCACTGCCTCTCTGTAGGACACCTCATTTGTATAATGTTTATACTGTAGACAAGTTTGCTATCAATCAGAAGTTCAATATAATGTTTTGAAACAAAATCTTGTCCATTGTAATCATTAATTTATTACAAGTGTTTGCATTTCCTTAAACACACACTCATCCAACATTTTTCTCCCAAGAAATAAAAACTCCCATCGATCAGAAGAGTTGCACAGGTTTTGTCCCCAGTCCTGCACTTCGCTTGATTAGTCGGTAATCCTGTTTTCAGTGCGTCACCAACTTTCTCAACACATGTCCACAGCAGGTATTTGTAACGCTGGAACATTCCCTGGACATCAATGCACGTACTCGGAGCTGCTTGAACCCTAAAAAGATGCATCAGATTTCGCCTGGTTCCTCATTCTCCTTTCCTTCCTCTGAATCTTGACCTTGCATCCAGCTGTAAACAGATGATCTTGGTTAAGTTTTTTTTTTTTAACTGCACAATAAGCCCCTATCAGAAATTAGAAAGCTCTCTGTTTTAATGACTAGTTGACTGTTTCCTAAAACTCACCATTGACCTCTTGCACTCAAAGAAGGATGTCTGCAGGGCTTTGCAGTGGCCTTCCTTTAGACACTCACTGGGTTTCTTTCCCTCCTGAAAAAATAAGAAACCACTTCATACACTGGGCCCTTTCTATTAGTAAAATGTACATTATATCCACACTGTATATAAACACAATTATAACTGGCATTGGTGACATACCATTAAACACTGGATCCTCTTTACTCATAAGAGTGGACAGGATCACCACCTGTTTTTTTCATGTAACCTCACAGTGATAAACATTTTATTTCACTTTGTGAGCTTTCTTTTTTTGATGATACTTGCTATGGAAGGAGTTACCCCGGCCTCAGGGAAAGATTCCTGTGAGGATTCTTGGAGTCATTTCTGACCAAATATGTAGGACTGCTTTCTTTCACCTGCACAATATCTCTAAAATTAAAAATATCCTGTCTCAGGGTGACACAGGGTGCATTTATTATTTATAGGCTGGACTGCTGTCATTTATTATTATCACGCTGTCCTAAAAATTCCCTGAAAAGCTTTCAGTTGCTGCAGCGAGGGTACTGTCAGGGACTAGAAAGAGAGGATATTCCTCCCATACTGGCTTCTCTTCATTGGCTCCCCGTTAAATCCTTTTAACACAGAAAGTTACGAATCGCTTGGCTCTCAGACTGTTAATTTACTTGTGATTACAGGTATTTTTAAAAGTAGAATGGAAGGCAGAGCCTGCAGGCTTTCTGATCCTGTTTACCCAAGTCTTTCGCTATTCCACGACCTCATGGTGTTTTTTATCAAGGTCAAGAAAAAGACGAAGTAGTTGTTATTTATTTATTATATTCGACCACAGCTCCGGTCAGTTAAAGGCACAAAAAACCAAGCAAACATGTATTTTCGGGAGACTGCGCCGACTTGGCTAATGTGGTGCTGCTAATTCTTGTTATTGGCAACATTTGACAACCCAGCGAAATGACGATCGTAGGACAGGTGTAAGTTTTAAGGTAAACAAGTGTCGCCAATCGACAGAAAGAAGGACAACCAATAATAATCTCGGGTAATATGTAATTCATATAGTTTCTAGCAGCTGTTAAACTAAAGCACTGTCTATGGGCTGTACTCTAGGACAGTGGGTAGGCTACAAAACATGGCTAACCTCAGGAATCTTTCACAAGTATTTCTTTCCCGCGCTTTATTTATGGCTCTGACTGTCTCCAGATTGTCTTTTAGGTGTAACAGAATTGATTGCTTTGGTTTTAAGCTAAGCACCCTCAGCTAGGGTACATTAACTTACCTTAACAACACAGTCGTGCTGAAGGAGACATGCCTTAAAGTCTTCTCTGATACCTGCGCATGCTCTGTTATCCTCCTCTTTGTCGTCGTAATATTTCGGCATTGTTCGGAATTCAATTTAACACCAGTTATCACCGTACTAGTAAACTAACAAGTGAGAAAAATCAGCTAGTTCACAGCACCAAAACCGACGTTATTATGAAAGCTGTAAGCTACCATCTTTCTGAAATGGCATGATGGGGAAAACGGAAGTACTCAGCTATGCATGCTGGGAACGATTGTAGTTTTTCTTGTATGTTTTTTATTCATCAACTTGCGAAAACTTAACACGCTGGACTTTTAGGTCTTATTTGCAAAGTTTTCAATGTCTTTAATTAAACCCGGTGATGCAGATGACATGAATAATGCAAGTAGAACAAAATCAACACAAAATGGCCATGGCTCGTAACAACCTTTAGCATTTATTTGGGAAGATGTCCAATGAAAAATGATGCAAGTCAGGCATACACATGTACACGATGAAGGCACATGAACTGATGGATGTTTGGAGGTGAGCGGCAGCTGTGAAGCAACACTCCTTTCCTGTTTGCCTTCTACTTTCTACAAATGCAGGAAGGAGCGGGGTCCTAAGGATCAAATGACCGTTTCATGCCGTTTACATGCATTCAGTTTGTTTAAATATGGATGCAGCAAACTCTCAAAACAGCAACTTGAGTTGCATTTTCTCCCATCTCCTCTGTAAATGTGAAGAATTTACCACTTTTCTTTAGTCAGCTCAGGTTTGATCAGGGGGCAGAGGAGCCTGCTATGACCCAAAAGGCATTTTTTAATGAATTACAAATAATAATAATGCACATGAACAAGCGTGATTAGTCAATTAAAAAATATTCATATTGATTCCACCAAAAGGCACTTCACTACCCCCTTGAAAAAAACCCTTTTAACAAGTAAAAATGAGTGAAGTTCCACTTTAAAACAGCTTCCACTCAGTAAATCAGCCACAAATACAAGTTGATTTCTAGAAACTATCAGAGAGGCAAGAGGAAGTAATAGAGAGACATAAATTGTTACTGTATTTATATATACAATCAGTGGCACTCTCCACAATTATCAGTAGTCATAAAATTATGTCCAATCAAAAAAAACTGACACATGACTGGACAAACGAATTGCAATGTGGAGGAAAAAAACGTGGGAAAAATGGAAAACTGGGTACAGCGATGAAGGCTAAGATTGTAAAAAAGAAAGCAGTGCAAATCACGCCGTTTCAGATGGTCGTCTGGCACAAACCCTGCTCATTTACCACTTTCAGCACAACACACAATTATTGTCGTTGACATCCAATCACTAATTGGACTGTGTGGGTTCAAAATATTCAAAACATTAGTATATCCAGCAATTGACGTGTAGGCAAACGTGAGCGGGAATAACGTTAAATACTTTCAAGGGACCAACATATAAGGCACATATTACCAATTTCGACCCACACAGCTACAGCTTTGTTCAGCAGATTTCCTACGATCAAGTTGTTTTTTTTTATCAGTTCCAATAAATTAGTTATGACATTTTGCGTCAAAAGGAGAGAAACAATAAGAAACTGAACCAAGCTATTTGTACTGACAGAGAAAGCAACTGCAAGTAGCTGTTATAATGAAAATAATATGTACAATAGCATTTAGAAAAGAAAAGAAAAACGCACAAAAGTACACAAAGACACAGACTCTGAACTACCATAAACATCTCTTGATAGAATAAAAATATATTTTACCTCTTGTACAAATTAAAGATTTATTTCAAATAAATTAAATCACCTTCATAGATCGTCAGTCGTAGCTGTAATAATATATCAATATAACAATATATTCCTTCAGGAAAATGGTGCCAAGGCAATGTCCGATTGATTTCCTATAAATGGACACTGAGGTCATACACAGCCTGTCAGATAAGAGGTGTTGGTATTCATTGTCTTCATGGAGTAGGGTAGTTACCACTGATACTGGCATGTGGTCAAAGGTGTCACCGTCTGGTTACAGGCAGGATCTTTTTAACGGTAAGCTCATCCTGAGTGTGTGTTTCAGGATAAGCTGAGCATTTAAATGGAACCCACACCTTTCTAGATGGAAACATTTTTTTCTAATGTTTGGGCTGGTGTTGATCTGGAGCTCCGTCATCTCTGCAGAGAACAGAGAGCAACTGGCCACTAGTGATGACAACATTCTTGATCATGGCAGGCTTCGCTGAGGCGCTAGTGACAGTGCAATGCCCCAGCTCGCCCAAAAGGTGGCAGCATTGAGTAACTGAAGGATTTGGCAGCATCTACACCAGTGGCCAGGTGACCGGTTCTCCCTCAGATGCTTGATTAATTTGTCCCAGTATTTTTTTTCTGATTGTTTTAAAAGCTGCTTAACAACAGAGCATGGATCAAAAGTCCTCACACACTCCGCTGTTGTTTGTCAGACAGTAGTATTCACATTCTCACAAATAAACGAAGAGCAAAAGAGTGAGGGAGAGAAGAACGAAGAAGGGGAGAAACAGACTGATGAGAAGCAAAAGTATATTAGGGAGAGCGGGGGACAAACAGGTGGCATTCGTCAGACAAGCTCGGACGAGCAACTCTAAGCCCTAATGACTTTACTGCTGGTCGCTAGGTGCCAGGGGCCCTGCATAAGCAGCCTAGGGGGGCTCTGTTCCCCAGGGGCCATCACTCACGTAGGCCCTCAGGACCGTTCAGCTTGTTACCCTTTTTATATGTATCTGTGGGGAAACAGGTACAACCATGGAGTTAGTGCATTGATATTCATTGTTTATTGTGCAACACATCAACAGATGGCAAGTGTGATTGGCTTACTTCACTGAGAATGGCCCACACAGCAGAGTCCTTGAGAACCGAAAGCCGGAGCGCAACAACAGGATTCAGCGAAGGATCTACAGCCCCTTCGGCCACACCCTTTTCAAACTGACCTGTGTGTTTAAATAAACAGGCACACCTCAAAACTTGTAAGCAATCAGAGGCAAAAACGATCCTTAACCTTAACTGATTTACACATATTTTCTAAACCAATATGCTAAAGCTAACTAGAAAACATGTATTTAAACAGCATGTAGCAATTCATTACATTCACATACCGATCCTATAAAAGCGATCTTCAGTTCGCTTGTACTTGTCTTTGGTCTGAAGTCCACTTTCCTAACATAAGAGGGCAACAACAGATGGACAGCGAAATGAAATGAAATAAAACACTCATCTTATAATCTTAATGATGACTCTCATTTGAGCTGCATTCAAAGATATGTTGGCAACAGTTCTCAAAGCGTGGCGCACAGTGTCAGAATGAATCACCTCTGGAAGAGTATGCGATTCTGTCACACTCACATTCCTGTCAATAATCAATACCCCACGTCCCTCAGAGCAGCCATTCGATATAATCTAATCAGAGCCATTCACACATCGCACCAGAGAAAGGTGGCAGACGTGTGTAAGAGTCTGTGTGTGTGGGTGTTTTCATACCGAGACGGGCAGTATTTCCACCGTGGTGTTCTCGATCTTGTCCCCTGGGTGCTCCTGGTTACCGCTGCGAAACAGGAACCTGCCAGTCAAATCAAGCACATGTTTTAGCGCCGTCATTCATGGATAAGCATCCCTGCACTTTCTTTCTCCCCAATGGTACCAGCCACACAGATGCACACAGTCTGTCAAATTGGAGCTGGGAGCCAAGACGGCTGAATTTGGGTATGCAAAAGTACACAAACCCGCTGCACGCTATATCTGAGCTGAGACAATTGGGTACACCAGCTTGGTTAAAATGTCCAGGCTGGTGTTTCTTAGATTTCATATTCAAGCCATTACTATTATTTTTAAATACTATAAAATGCAATATTTCTGTCTGCTCTGCTTAAACCTGCCAGTATAGTTATTAGCTCCTTGTTCCCTTTCTACCCTCACTCCACAGAGAGTAGGAAGCCGGCCTGAAAATGCTTCATTTAGAGTACTCTCATTAGCTCATCCCGTTCCTTGGATTTGCACTGCACAGAAAGCACAAAAGCTAAATCTGAATAAACACTATCTCTAAACTTGATCTCTAACCTTGGGGTCAAGGTCATTTTTATTAGGTGGACCTATGGTATTAATTTGAAACTTGAAAAGTATGACACCTTGTTTGCAAATTTGGATGTCCACGTGGCTTGCCTGTTGGGGCAATAAGGGGTAAAAACCACACAAATAAAGCAGCTCTTTATTTACCTCTCTATGCTAACAGGCCTGTCAAATTTGAACAGGATATAGTCTCCAGCAGTAGGAGTGATGGCCCAGAAGAAATCCTCCCCTAGATACGTCTTCTCCAACGTGTGACCCTGATAAACCTGAAAGAGACACGCTCTTTTATTCCTCACATCATTTTGCAAATAGCTAATTATATTTTTTTCTGTAATTATTACTAGTAACTATACAATGAATACAAAGGTACCAAAACTCCAGAGTGATACCTTCATTGAAGTGGAGACCTCAGCAGGTGGGTTAACATGCATCTTGTGCAGAAGGGGCTTCAGGAAGTCCTTGTCCTACACAAAGAGGAAACAAGTGTTTCTACACAGGAAGACATTTCAACTGCTGTGGAAAATAAACACCCGTGACTCACTGTAAGTTTCTGAATCTTTCCAGCGAGAGAGGAATGGAGCCCCACGTGCTGAAATAGTGAAGGTCTAAACCGTACACGAAGGCTGGACTTCTGCCTCTCACAGTGTTTCTGGGGGGGGAGTGGCAGGAGAACAATGGTAAGACCTATTTTTGCTAGACTATTTCTCTCATTCATACAAGTAGTAGAAGTAGAATGCATACCGCATCTTTTTCAGGATTGCAGACTTTGACCCACAGAATATGGTCCAGCAGCCAGTCGATGGGCTTCTCTTTGTAGAACATAAAAATGAACTCAACAATAAGGTTCAAGTCTGGAGCCTGGAACATTTTTCCTGTAGGAAACAAGTTTATAGACATTCATTGATCCTCCACAGAAGCTCATTAGCAACAAATTATCTGCAGCAAGACGATTAAAGCATGAAAAGGGCTCAGGGGACTTTCTGGTACAGAGTAAACAAGAGAAAAACAGAGCAAATCAACAGGAATTAATACAGCAAGAAAGTGAAAATACTGTTTTGGAAACCTCAATTCTCTAAAAATCTTAAAAGGCATGCAACATGAGCTAAAGACGTACCCACTCCTCATTTACTTTTGTTTTTTCCTGCTTATTGCAACTACCTAATTTCCATAGTGATCAATATCACTTTCCTCTTTCTTTACTGGCTGCTCCCAATGTGCTTCATTTCATTTCATTGTTGTCATAATCAAGTGCTACAGGATGGAAATGCCTTATCACAAATGTGTTTTTGCTGACTGTGCTTTGTTTTGACAGAACACTAGTAGATGCTCAGTGCTTAATGCGTAGTACCAATGAAGCCAAGCTGAGAGAACTCCAGGATCATCCAGTCTTCTGAAGACAGCTGCAGGGCAAAGTTCTTCATGGTGGCAAAGTAGTTGGGCTTGGCCACAATGTCATCCTCCAGCTAAACAAACACACACAGGAAAATCAGACTGTAAAACAGAAGAAACCCTTAAAGTTTAGGGCTTTAATTGTGGCATAGAGGGTGAGTAGTAGGAGGGAGACTCTTCTATTTTCACACAAGCACAGCTCTCTGAGCTCAGTTAAGAAACACTTCTGAGTTTGCGCACTAAACTAGAGTAGCGCGACGCTATGCTAGGCAGTACCTTTTGCCTTCAGGTGAGAGCACAGTATGGAAATGACACATCGCACAAAGAAGACAGAAAGATAAAAGATCACAGCAGTTACATTCAGTTTTGAATGGCTTGTATAAGAATCAAATCCCATATGTGACATCTACTTTAACTAAGTAAACCTAGCTACAACAATAAACCATAGTGCCTCTGAAAAATGACCTGGTTTTCATTGATAAAAGAAAACCTGCTTCCTTACTATGCATGAAAACAGGCTTTCACATTTGCAAAAAATACATCGCAGTCCATCCAAATCTGGGAACTGAGTGTGTAACATTTTGCATAATCAGCCTAAATTGTTGAGCACAGTATATTTCCAGTGTGATACATGTTTGTTTTGGTACACCCTGTCATTCGCTCTGCTTCAGTTCTTATCTATGAGCTATAGCATGCTAGTAGGATTAACTGTTAAATCTGGGCAGACACCATCCAATTTTAATTACGCACTACACGTTTTAATCGGCCAAAGCCGGAGTCTTTTCTGCTGGCAACAAACCAACAATGACGTGGAGCTCAGAGTGGAAGTGAAAGAGGTCAAAGGCTTACACAGAAATTCCAATAAAGTTTATTCAACCAAGATGACTGTGTCCTCAGTGTTGCCGTAGCAGAGAAAAGGAGAAAGTTTAGTCTTGGAAGTCGATAAAATAGAATAATTTTAAATGACTTTCAGAGCACGTAAAGCCTCACTTTTGATTCTAAAGCCCAAACTGGACTGTTGGATAAAACAGATAATCAAAGGTCAATATAGTTAGTGTATTGTCTGTCTTGTCTTAATGTTGGTTTAAAATGGAGCACTGTAACAAAAAATAATTTCCCCCAGGGATTAATAAAGTATTCTGATTCTGATTCTGATTCTGATTCTGATATGAACATGTTGCACTGTTCTTCCTGATGAACTTTTTTTTTAAATATTTCTATTTTTAACGTTTAATAAAAACAATGAAGATCAGACAGGAAAGTAGAGAGGGACATGTACCGAAAGGTTCTGGGTTCGAACCCGGGCCGAACCAGTAACAAACCAATACCAGAACTGAACAAAGTGTGTGCTCAGCTTTACATGCTACTGCACCAAAGACATACCTGGACATAATAAACTCCTTTGCTTACAGCATACATCATGAGGAAAGAATAATCCAGGTTCTGCTTCGTACGCCATCTGAAAAAAAAACATTAAAAACAAACAAACAGATTATTGTATTTTCTTCTCAGGAATATCATATATGTGCACGCAGCATGTCAGACACTTTGCTTTACATGCAGAAAGCAAAGCTGTAGTCTCGGCTACACACAAAGTTGCAGCAGCAGACTCTGAATAATTGATGAACCAAACTGTCACACTAATTGTTTGATCTACATGGTGTTGCAGATTGACTGAAGGCAGCAGGTGTTCTTGTGTGGGAGGTGCCTGAGGGTGCACATGCACTGTCACATATACATACACATACTATTAATAAAAAGATCAAGAGAAGATACAGGCTGAGGGCATGGATGCACACTCACACAGAAAACAAGTGTGTAATATACAACACACCACAGCGAGCATGTTCAACAACACACTGTACTATTTATATCCCCATCAGAAGCATCAGTGCTAACAAACACCCACAAATGAACATAACACACAGTCCTATTATTCGAGTGTGTATTGTAAGTCTTCACAAGTGTTGGCTCAAACTGCACCATGAACAGATTTTTAATGAAGCCAGTTGTTAGCCTACTACAAAGCGAAGATAAGTAGGGAGGATAACAAGAGCTGAACACTACAGAGAGACAGAGGCAGAGGGTGCTGCTGCTGATGACCTTGATCTGACTTTGAGAAATGTCTGTGGAATACTAAGTACCTACGCAACCTACCTAAAAGCTCTCGCCTGCTCTCTCCCCTCCTACTTTCCCCTGACTCATCCTTTATAGTTTTTCTGCAATCCTCATCACAGCTCTGCCCTATTTCATTCTCCCAGGGCTGATTTCTCCACCGTTTCCATAATAATTGCCATCACATTTTTTGCCCTCATTCAGTGTCACAGCTCTGACTTCCATACCTGACTCTCTCTTTGGAGTCTCCAAAAGTCTCTTTGAGGTTGTTGAGATCGGGGTAATAGGAAGCTGGTGGGGAGATCACCTCCAGCAAGCCTGAGCTCAGCTCTGTAGAAAACCTGGGGAATGAAGTCCATTTGTGACATCAAATATGGGACACACACACACACGCATTTACAGTCTTTTCAGTCCTTAACAATATTTATACTTTTTTGTTTATACCCATCAAAAAAAAAAAAAAAAAGCAGAAAAATATACTCACTCTTTCTCCAAGCCAGCAACCACGCTGTGAACGTATTCCAGGTCAGTCTGGATCGATCGTAGCATAAAGACATATCAGACAGAGACCTTTTAGAATCATTTTTCTTTCACTGTGCAGAACACGGTGCTATGACTCATGGTTTATAAATGCGAAAATCTCACCTCCCCAACAAAGACTATAATGACACAGTCGAGTTTTTCCTCCGGTGACAGCTTGTCTATTAGCGAGCGCAGCGTCTCTGACAAATAAGACTTAACCTTCCGCTTCACGGTGGGGATCCCCATCACCATGGTAACTAGGAGGAAGACGGAGACAGGTGAGAAACAAGAAGAGTCCAGGGCTGCAGAGGTGGCGGTTTAATCAAGTGGATCCAAAACCAAATAAAGTTTGCTGTTAGACAACAGGCCAACACTGGCCTGAAGCCACATGAACAGCACTTCATGCCCACAATGACAGATGTCAGTGGGAAGGATGACTGATGAAGACGGCTTGTAATGCATCTGCAATACCATGCTTTGTGTTCTTAACGAAATGTTTTCTTTAATCAACACTAACTCAAAGGCAAAGGTTTCCCAAATTACTGTGTGAAAGCAAAAACTAGTGGACTTTAGACATAGGTTAAAATAATATATAAACTTCTATTATGTGACATTAATTTCAACATTGGATCTGTAGAACACTCTTAAAGTTAAAATAATAATCATTAAAAAAAAAAAGTAAGGCAGGGCAAAGCCAAGAGAAATAAGGAAACAAAGCCACAAAGTAGAGCTGATGATTTGATTTAATCATATACTTTTATAACCTCATATATTCTAGGGTTTTGCTTTATATGAATAATCTAAAAGTTATAGTTATGGTAATATAAAAACAAAATTTCACATTTTGATAAGCTGGTAAACCCAGTCTGTTAATATATGGCAGCCAACCTAAACTGTCATCAGTTAATTTACTACATATGCTGGGAGAAGATTAAAAACAAACAAAGAAACAAACACCAGTCACAAATTATGAAGCTAAGTGAGCCCTCAATTAGAAGGAGACGTGACATCCACAATAGAAATGACATCAACTAACATTACATTTAGCTGATCAACATTAATTAAATCGTTAAAACATTTATTAACATTTGTTATTAATATCTTAACAACATTAAGATCATTAGGAAATTTAATTGTATGACCTCCTTATGGCTGATATTGAACAGGGTTATTTTTTTATTATCGAGATATTTGCCGATATCTACACCAGACTGAAAGCTGTTTATTTTACTTTGAAGGACACACGAATCACCTTTTCTGGCGAACATGATAATGATAAAATGAGTGAGCAGAAAGTGTACAGCAAGCCCACACTGGTGTGAAAGTAATCAGGCTGGTTATGTGACACATAATTTGTGTTTTCCTGCTTTCCTGCTGAGGAAAATTGGTGAAGACAGCAGCACGAAAATGGCTATTCATCTGTATGCCCCCTTTTTTATGTTCAGCTTTCTATGTCTATATTGCATATGTTGCATTTAAACCCCAAGTTCACACATAAAGGAGGTTTGGGGTATTTTACATAAGCTGTACAACGATGTCCAAGAGGAAAACATCCCAGAGCTCTCTGGGAGCTCCCAGAGAGCTACAGTGCTCATGAAAGTTACAAAAGACCTCTTAGAAAAAATTATGACTGAAGTGTGCACGTCATGTTATGTGCATGAACCTGTGTGTATGCAGGGGTGTATTTGTAGGGAGCACCATGCTAACTGAGCCAATGTGGGGACACGAGGGGCTACAACAAAAGCATAAAACAAACTTGAGGTGTGGATAAGTGAGGAGCAGAGTGAGATTGCTCCAGAGCGTGGAGAATCTGTCCCAGTTCTGCTTTGTGTTTTTCACATGGAGCTCCATGTCATATAGCGACACCCACCACCACTACCAAGAAAGTAGGTCGAGGATGAAAGGAGAATGTGGGAGGAAGGAAAAGAGACAGAGAGTGGCAGAATAAGAGAGGATGGCAGACAGTGAATGAGTGATAATGCATGCGAGTGCAGCACGAACAGGCCCGACTCCAGCGTCGCCCCTCCCCATGTCCCTTGATCAGCTCGCCCGCATCATTCTGGCACCCTTTCATCTCCTTCATGTAAAAAAAGCATTTCTGTCTGCTTCTGGCACAGCAGTGAAAGGACTGCGTGTGACAGAGCATGCATATAAGAAAAGCAGGTCTTCAACTATATCTACAAATAAGGCATTATTTGTTCCATTACTCTCCAAGTCTGGGACAAAAGGTATATGTACACTTATGGCCATATTTTATTGGACAAATGCACAATTTTTCTACTTTTGCCTCTGTTCACTGTCATAGTGAACTTTAAAGTCAACCAATCAATATGTGACAAAGTGAAGCCTTCAAGCTTTAATTCAAGGAACTTCCCAAAATGTTCAATTGACCTATTCAGGGATTTCAGTCATTTCCCCCTTTTTTATTTTTTTTATTTAGAGGATACATATAGAATACAAATATAATAATAAATAAGTCTAGACTCCATGGACATCACCAAGTGCTCTGTTTCCTCGCTTAAGATCCTCTGCCAGGCCTTTACTGCAGCCACCTTTTATTGGTGCTTGTTTACAGGTTTTTATTGCTTCAGTAACTAAAAAGCATGTCGTACTGGGTTTGAGATAAGATGACTGACTTGGCAATGGAAACTCTTGGGTTGGTTTTGTAGTATGCACTGGGTCATTATCCATTTACTGAGAAGCGCCTTCCAATCACTTTTCCAACATTTGACAACCTGTGCAGACAGGATAGCCCTGTATACTTCACAATTCATCCTGCTGCTTCTATCGGCATGATCAGTAAACACCAATGGCACGGTTTTGGGGCCAGCCATGCATGTCTATGCCATAGCATTGTCTCCACTTGCCTTGGGTTAAAATCTGCACACGCCCTGAACTGGTTTTTTTTCATCGGCTAATTTAGATAATGCTTCAAAATAACTGCCTGCAGACGTTCCAAGTGACAGGATGTGCTCTTTAGAAGGACTTTGGCTGAACCCCAGTCCTTGGTGTAAAAGTGGATATGACTGAAGCAGATATGACAGGATGTTAAAAATCTTTAAAGCTAACACTAAATTAATTGGTTTTGTGTTGTTTAATGAAATGTTAAATGGCAAATGGCCTGTATTTTGTATAGCGCTTTACTAGTCCCTAAGGACCCCAAAGCGCTTTACACATCCAGTCATCCACCCACACATTCACACTGGTGATGGCAAGCTACATTGTAGCTACAGCCACCCTGGGGCGCACTGACAGAGGCGAGGCTGCCGGACACTGGCGCCACCGGGCCCTCTGACCACCACCAGTAGGTGGTGGTCTTGCCCAAGGACAGTGTCTTGCCCAAGGACACAACGACCGAGACTGTCCGAGCCGGGGCTCGAACCGGCAACCTTCCGATTACAAGGCGAACTGCCAACTCTTGAGCCACAATAATGAACTACGATCCCAGCTAAGATCCCACTAAACACAGGCTTGATATTTACCACCGCTTTACATGGTTTATATGAAAATGTGATCCAGGCAAAAGAGCCTGGATCAGATTAAACTGAATCTGCATGCAAAGATGTGGTTTGTTCAGCATTTTGTTGCGTCACGCCTAGTTTACAGAGACAAGCAAGGCAGCGTCACAAACAGTATCGGAGAGATCTGTGAAGCAAGTTACGTTTAGCCCTCGAGGTAATTTACTTTGCTTTTTTGTTTTTTCCAGTTGTGAGGAAGAAAACAACAGCGTGTGTGCTAAGAGAAACACATAACTTCCTATGATCAACAACCGAGCAGCAACAGAGATCACTGTAAGAAATTTCTCATTCTGGAAAAAAAGGATGAAAAGAGGTCTTCAAGTGTAGCCTGTGACATGTTAAATAGATGGTCAGCAGAAGCAAATACTAGTGTATAACTGATGTTGCTTAGCAACGGACAAAGCAGTCATTGTGTAACGGCACAAGATGACAAGCAGATGACTTGCTAAAGGCTACATATGTGTGACCCGGCACGGCTCCTTTTACAGTAACACTCTTGTTGACTTTTGTCTGAAGGGATTTCAGGCAGGTCTCACTCCAATCATATAGGTCTCAGAGGTTCCCTCAACGGTTTCTTTCTCTCATCCTCATCTCTCTCGCTCAGTGTCATGTCCTAATTTTCATAGCTATAATTATCCCAATGTCAGATATGCTTAGAGTAGCAAAGAAACAAAAGGAAGGGTTAAAAAAAAGCTAAGATAGATTAAAAATAACAAACTAAGAGAAGAAGGGGCATTAAAGGCATTGTTGGTATCGTGACACAAAACTTCTCAGCAGCCAGCCAAGTATGCCATATGACATGCATGGTTAGTGGAGGGGCAGAAAGCGTGTGTGGAGTCATTTGTCTCTGTGACCCACCAACCGCACAGATCAGCGACTACTTCCCAGCAGCAACAACTCCAGCTCATTTGTGCATTCCAGTGAAAACAACTGACAGCACTTTAGAGGGGAAAGTTGGTGACAGGATGACAACAGGCAGCAACAAACTCAGCATCATCAGTGGGAAGGCTCATGTCTAAAAGAAAGCCAAAATGCAGGTAACATATACAATCTGTGAAACATCAGATGGGGTGGTAACAACCAAGAGAAGGCAACATCAGAATTTGCACTTTTTTCTTTAATGTAGTACCTTATTATGTAACATGTGCTTTATTTGACCAGCACTTGGAATTTGAGGGTCACCTTCTCACCAGCCAAAGGACGCAGATTAAAACAGCTTTAAACTTTTCTCCTGTAGTTTAGCATCAAGGAACATATGGCTTTAGTTTTAATGTACTTTTAGCGTTCCATCAGCTTTGTGCTTATGAGCCACCATACCTTCCGCTACTTAACCACTGACCTGTAAATAAGCAGGCAGCCAGAGAGAAGTAAACTATTTCTCCGAGTTGTCCCTGTTTTGTTTTCCTTTAAAATGTCTTAAATCTAAATTTGTCCAGCCATTAACTGCAATGTGAAAACATCAAATGAACTGTTTGGCACTCAGGCCAACTATCACACTTACAAAGCCAAAGTAAAAAGATAAGTGAAAGTAAAAAAGTAACAACAATTCTCCAGTTCCTACTCATCAGGATGTACTGGTACTCATTCGCCTTGTACTCACACAGACACACACGGGGGCAGGGCTGATACACACAGGCATGTTTATTGATTACCATCTTCACACTGTTCTAAAGCTCTTTCATAAGAACCCAGAATGTATGTAATAAAGTAGCTCGGGTGGCTTATACAAGTAAACAGGAAAAATGTGTAAGCAAGTGAAGAAATAAGTCAGAGGAACAAAGGAGGGTAATGTGAAAGTGAAATTATTTGAATCTAAACGGTTAGACTACAAAAAATCTCCAACTGTGCAAATATTGTTTTGCATAGCTCAGTCCAGATGGGTACTTGTTGTGAACTAGTGAAAGAGTGAAAACTTGTTGAGACTTGATTTTCTCTCTGGTGTAATGAGGATCTCTGGAGGGTTTGCTGTGCTTATGCAGGATAAGCATGCAATGCACATTGCAGAGAAAAACAAAACAAAACAGAAAGCCTTGTAAATTAGGAACATTAAACTGAATCTGCAGTGTAGGTATGCACTTCTCACCTCCAGTGCGGCCAAGACCAACCTGCACTGCGGGGTGCAGGCTGCCCTCATTGTTGAGGAGATGAGGCAGGTGGTGGTAGATATTTGGCACCTGAAGAGGTTTCCTGTTTGCTAACTCCTTCAGGAGTTTCTGTGTCTCATCTGAAAACAAGCACAGAGAAACACATTAAGTGAAGCACTCTTCCTCATTTTCATGAAACATTTAAGAGACATGACCCAACTGTTTACACACAGATCATGTAACAATGATATTCTTGATGGGAGATGGGAGTATGTCATCCCTTATTTTGATTGTCTTCGATAGCATATCTCTGCCATTACAATCACTTTAATGACTGAAAAAAAGCAACAGAAGCGTCATCTCTTCAGAATAAATGACTTTGATGTGGATTACTGACAAAGCTGCAAATTCTCCAAATATTGCCATCTTTAAATCTAGGTTAAAGACCTACTTGTATTTTATGGCATTCTTGGGTTCATAATCTGTTGACCATGTTGTTTTATTTTGTATTTAATCCATGGTTTTTTTGTAATCTTGTATGTTATTCACTTTTTATTCTTTTGTACAGCACCTTTGGACAGATTTTTTTCCATGTATAAATGTGTTTCAAAAACAAATTTCACTTACTTATTTAACTAAATAAAATAAGCAACATGATTGGATCTCTCTGTCTGACTGCTGTCTTTCACCCACCTAGATTTTAAACCCACCTGGTGGTTTTGAGAGATGAGTCTGTCTATCTGAAATTGATCAAGAAAAATTTCACAAATGAAGTACGTCTTAGAAAATGTACAGCCTGATCTCAGAATATTTCACATGTTGTACTCAGTTTCTATTTTAAGTCTGACGTTACTTTAGTCTAGCAGCTTTCTATCAGTGAGGAAATTAAATTTCCACTAACTTATGACAGGAAACCAACACATGCCCATGATTCTAAAGTCACTTGAGGTCGAAACTGATGCTAAGCCACTCCAACAAGCTGGTTTTGCTTGGGCGTGAAGTGGCACTAACGTAAAAATTCAATATGTTCCCCATTTTTGTTCAGTTGCCAGAACAACACCAACCTGCTTAACACTAGTGGTGCTCAAGAACAGCAGGAGTTTTGTTTTGTTTTTTTATTTCTGGGGTTGTTGTTTTTTTTTTAGGAATCTAGCCTGAAGAGTGGAGACATTCAAAAGTCTAGAGCTAGACGAAGAAAGGTACTTTCCCACAGCACTGTCATAATAATCACGCAAAACATCTAAAAGGGCAGGATATTTTAAGCTTAACGCAATAAGCGGAAGATGCAGAGCAGATAAAAGGTGACGCTTTATTGAAATTTTCCAGACTTTACACACAAACACTCGTACATCTGTTGCACGCAAATGACTGAAAGCTCAGCCGGATGTTGATGAGTAAAAACAGTTACTTCTGTTACCTGAGAAGTTTGTGAGGGCATCTTTGCTGCTGTTAGTTTCAGCAATGGCGCGTCTGAACTGCTCGAGAATGTTGTTGAGCTCCGACGAACGCTGCAGCGTCCTGTGCTCTGCCACACGAAGGCGCTCTTTCAAAGCGTGGAACTCCCGTTGGTACGCTATCAGCTTCTCTACATGAAGGGGAAAAAATTAGGAGACATTAGCAAGTGAGAATATACAGAAATGTAATGAATTTTTCACTGAATTAATCACAACTTGCTAACACAACTTCCACTCTTTGAAAACATCTGCACAGACAACATGCTAATGCTAAGCTAGGCAAGAACCTGCACTGATGTTAAAAATGAGTAAACGCCGACCCCAGGCATCAATTCCTATACCAAGGAGGTAAGCTTGTTAATAATAATTGAAAATATGTGCATAGTTACAGACATAAAACCTTTAAATTGACCAGCAAAGACAGATCTAATCTGATCATTTTCTGAATTGGTTTACCAAACAGGTTTAGAGGTCGGTGAATGTTTAAGTTTCAAGAGGAAGGAAAAGAGACACCACAAAAAAAAATAAAAACGAGAGCAAAAACAAAATCAGGAAAAAAAATTGCTTGCTCCGATGGTGCAAGGACCTAAAGAACTTGCAAAAGAACCCAGCTTTCAAATCTGTGACCAACACATGATCACGCCATTACTGGAAATACCCCCGTGCTTACTCATGAAGTTTAGAGGTAATTTACTGCGAAAAACTGAACAGAATTGTCTTTCTAATCATTCATCATGGGGCAGACTTTAGGTAGTGTGTGTAGGAGTTTGAAACAAGAAGCTGGAAAGAAAAAGGGAACAGCTGTCTGTAAGAAACATTCTTGATACAACACTGACAAAGCCTCAGAGTTTTAACCAGAATCTGTGTTCATGTGATCCATACCTCTGGTAAATTTCCGATTCACAAAGACATTTTACAGATGACGTATGTATGACATGATGTAATGTAGACTGACAGGTAATGCTCTTGGACTGTTGTGGTGATGACCCCTTGCTTTAACAGGAAACGGTCAGGACCTGTGTCTGAAAATCTAATTCTGGTTGACTGTCAGCAGGACAGTGTGTATTTCGAGGTTTACTGTTTTTACATTATATTTTATGGGGACTGTTCTGGTTTAGATAACATTGCCATCTGCTTTTTTAGAACTACCGGTAACAAAGGATTTGCATCAACATCTCTGAAAGTGATCGATCAGATCCCTTCTTGAGCCGCCCACAAACAGCACACAACAGTCCATTTGCTTTCAGAAAACAAATGAAGTTGAGTGGTGTGTAGGAAGACTTCCGAGTCCACCGCAAACTGCACTGAGACCACATTATACAGAAGTCACAGTGCAAAGCTTACTCTGCACCAGCTTGACTTTCAGGTTTCTCTCTAGCTCAAATGCCTCCTATTGTGCAATCAGACTAAAGCACAGAGTTAACCAAGTTAGTCAGTCTGCGAACACCCTTAGTTGTCTGTTGGTTGGTTAAAATCTACATTTATGCCAATCATTGCAAGTCCTATAGTTTGGTATAAGCAGCAGTAAAGACTTTACTTTGTTTCAAAATTTATAAGATTACAGAGAGGCTACAAAGAAAATATCTGGCGTGTGTGTGTACCGGTTTTTCCTTTCTTGGTGGGGACCAAAAATCTGAAATTGACTATATTTGTGCCTCACAGTGACCAAAATCCAGGTCCCCACAAGTTTGAAGGCATTTTTCAGACTCAAAATGTGGTTTTGGTGTCAGGGTTACCTTTGGGTTATGGATTAGGCATTCATTTTTGATGGTTAGGGTGAGAGGCTAGGGAAAGCATTATGTCAAAGGATAGCAACACCCAACGTGTGTGTGTGTGTGTGTGTGTGTGTGTGTGTGTGTGTGTGTGTGTGTGTG